ACAGTCAATCGCTGCTTCGAAATGCATGCGAATAATTTATTCAAGTCGACTTTAATGAACAGATATCATCAACTTAATTTTCTTGTACTTAGTCGGCTACACACAAATCTGGTAAAGTTAAAATTAATGTTGTCAGCCTTTCCAGGTTTTTTAAATTAATTTTAATTAACAAATAAAATATATTGTTGATAGAATATTGTGACAAATATGCTTTTTTTTTCTAGCAAAATACTGCCACTTCATGTAGGCCGACTATACAATAGAAGTGATACATAATGATCACTATAGATAAAGAGTAGTCGTAGTTGCATTATCAACTATTTTGTTAAAACGTTTGTCTTCCTTGAAATTTAATTTTATTAGTACAGTAAAATAAATTGAATTGTTTGACAGTTACTCAGTAAATCATATGAGTCTACGCTGTGGCAGTGTGATATTGTGCTGAGTTTTGAATGACTATTAAATTAAATCTATTTTTTACATAAATCTCAGAGAATATGTTGAAGTTTTCTAAGCCAAATGAACAAAACTACACAAATTAGCCTTATTATTTCTAGGCTTAAATGTCAGCTCAAGAATTGTCAAACAAATTTATAATTTTAGTTACCACTATTAAATAAAGAACTGCTAAATACAATCCTAGACAGATAGCAAGAAAAAAGAGAAACTGAACAGAAAAGAACTAAGAGTAAGACAATATGCTTCGTCATGTAATTATTTCCAAACAAGGTAACCTGCGACTAGACTTCGGACACTGATTTACTGGTATAGACCTTGCACCAGCTACAACTTCCCTGTAAGATCAAATAATACTTGTGACATAAAAACCGAGTACGAAAGATTGTCTTTAACTACTGGATTTTATCGAAAGATTTTATTAAAACACATCGAAATATAAGGAATATTATGTTTCTTAACACGAACTACCTTATTGTAGCAAATCTATAATGCTTGGAAATCCCACGGATGAAAATTTATTTTAAAGATATATACTACTTATTTCATGTTTTCAGCCAACACTTTACAAACCGAAGCCTGGGAGATCATTGAGATACAATGAAACCATGTCTGTTCTGTATGTAGGGTTGTGAACAGACACGAAGTAGTGATAGGACCAAATTTAAAAATCCAAATTTCGTAATTTATATCATCTGTTAGGATGAATTCAGAATCAGTCAATTACACTGTATCTCGGCCTAGTATCACGAAATAAACAATGTTTAAGTGTTTAAGTGAAAATAATCCCACAAATAATAATTATAAGTTGCTAACTAATATTTTAAAGATTTCCTTACTACCCCCACGCTTTCTAAATGAACAGCACTAGGATTATAACCTGTCATGATAGTTACATAGAAGAATATAAAGTGTCGTTAAGACACTTTAAATTGGTTTTCTCATTGGAACACTAATGTGCATTTCTAGCTATAGAAGTTGATGGGAAGTAATTGGAAATAATATTCTTCGTCCATATATGTGTTTTTATTATGATAGGAATTTTCAAACGATTAAAATCGTAGAAAGAAACAAAACGAATTGATAGTTTAACTACACCATTTACGATAAGTTGACCTAAGATCTCATTAAATAACCTCTAATGATTAGAAATGATCAACCAAAACAAAGAGTAGGGTAAACATAATAAAAGGGTATTGATTACAGTTAAAAACAGATGATGAATTTCTAGTTCAGGCGTTGAGACACCAAGAAAAATAAAATTAGAAATTAGTATTTGGCTACTACCCAACCCAATGCTTCAGTTATTTGTATTAATCGAGGTTCACCTACCAAGAAATGTAAATTTTATCCCATCAGCCAAGTCAAATGACCTTCAGATAATTATTTTTAGACTTTGTTTTAAATTACTCGACAAAAGAACTAATAATCCGTTTTCTTAATTGCTTCCACTCATACTAACAAGATATTGTTTACAGGACTGAGAAACCCAATGAATTCCCAAAGGTTCGAACTCGTATCATAGTAGCGATTAGAGATGGTGGAGAAGATTTGTAGCTCAGGTGGATGATTTTGGTGGAGTTTTGTTCTCTGAGCTGGATGGTTTGGTCGTGGGGCTTTCATCGTTCTTCTGAACGACATCATCAGCACAAACTTCAGATAGAAGTGAAGTGTTTGAATTTCTCCATATGTGTCTCAAAGCTTGTTCTGTGCACCTCGACGTTGATTGGTTTTTATCGACCTTAAATTTGTCGTTGTTTACTTCTTTGTTTTGGTTGTGTCTCCCATTGTTTTGAATTTTGTTCTTATGTTTGTGCATGATTTTTCTGATTGGTTGATAAATTGGATTGATTTCAATATGCTTGTTGATTGCTGATTGACATGAGTGCCAGGCTTCTAAAAATTCTCTGGTGTTTTTGGAGTTTCCTCTGTCTAAAATTTCCACATTTTCCCAATCGAATGAGTGTCCGTAGTTATCCACGTGTATTGATATAAGTGAAGAGATATCATGGCGTTTGACTGCTAATTGATGTTCATGTAGGCGAAGGTGAAGGGGGCGTCCGCTTTGTCCGATGTAGTGTTTTTCGCAGTTGGTACAATTTATTTTGTAGATGATGTTTGATTTGTTTTCCTTTGTTATTTCATCTTTTGGTTTGCATAAGATTGATTGTAGTGATTTTGTCGGTTTGTGTGCCACACCTATTCCGAAGTTTTTCAGCAGTCTCGTCGCGGTTTCTGATATTCCTTGTATATATGGTAGGGTGATCCTTTTGTTGATTTTTGTGCTTGACTTGAGTTCCAATGCTGCGTGCGGTTGGTATTTTTTGATGAAGTTGATAGGGTAGCCGTTCTTCTGAAATACATCCTTTAGGTATTTCTCTTCATTTCTTCGTGCTACCAGTGTGCTGCAGTGTGTCCTCGCCTTCTTGAACAAATTGTGTACGCAGTTGATTTTGTGAGCTCTGGGGTTGTTGCTGTTGTAGTTGAGAATTTGATCCGTATGGGTCGGTTTCCTATATACCTGAGTTTCCAGTTTTCCTGTGTCGGTTCTAGTGATCAATATATCAAAGAATGATAGTTGGTTGTTTGACTCCTGTTCCATGGTGAACTTGATGTCATCGAAGACGTTGTTGATCAGGTTGTAAGTGTTTTCTAGTTCATTCTTTTTGACGATGACGAAGGTGTCGTCTACATAGCGAATCCAAATTTTTGGTTTGATCACTGGTAATATAGCGGCTTCTAGTCTTTGCATCACTGCCTCTGCGATCAATCCTGATATTGGTGATCCCATTGGTGTCCCTTTCGTTTGTTCGTAGATTTTGTTGTTGAATTGAAAGTATGTTGTTAGGCATAAATTGATGAGTTCCTGTAGACTTTGAATTTGAAGCTTCGTGTATTTAGTGAGGTTTGTGTCGTTGTTGAGCAGCAGGGATATAGTTTCTTTTGCTAATTTTGGTGCAATTGAGGTGAATAGTGCTGTCACGTCGAAGGATATCATCAGTTCGTCGTTGTTGATTTGGATGCCCTTAATTTGGTCCAGGAATTGTGTAGGGGATTTGATTGAGTGGTTGGCTGAATCTACTAAATGTCTCAGTATTCTTGAAATTTCTTTTGACAAATTGTACGTTGGTGTTCCGGGGAGTGCTACAATTGGACGTAGTGGGATGTTTGGTTTGTGTATTTTGGGTCTGCCGTAGAGTCGAGGAAGTACTGGTCCGTTGGATTTCATTCTCCATTGTTCTTGTTTTGTTATTTCTCCTGCTTTGACTAGCTTGTTTAAGGTCTTTGAGATTTGGTTGTCTAATTTTTTGACGGGATTTGTATCCATCAGTTTGTATGTGCTCTTGTCTTCCAGTAGTTCTTCGGCTTTTTTGACGTATTCTTCTTTGCCCATGATTACTGTGGTGCGTCCTTTGCCCGCTGGTATTATGACAATATCCTTTCTATTTTTGAGTTCTTTTAAGGCCTTTTGTTCTTGTGGAGTCAGTTGGTTGTTTTCCTTCGCCTGTTGAGTTAGCGGTACTATAGTTTGCCTTATTTCTTGTTGTGTTTCTTCACTGATTCCTGAAGTTTTGAGTGATGACTCCAGTGCTGCGAAGAATTCCAGCTTTGAGGCGTCGCTTGTATTGTAGTTTAATCCTTTTTGGAGTAGGTATTCTTCCGTATTTGTTAGTGGTTGTTTTAACAAATTGATCACGCAGTTGTTTGTGTTTTCTTCCATGGGTGGTTTTGAGATCTTGATCAGTTTTTTCTTTAAGGCGTTTCTTCTTTGTTCTCTGTGTCGTTTGCATGATATCCAGCTCAGAGAACAAAACTCCACCAGCGATTAGAGATGCTACTGCTAAAAAATTCAGTGAGAGTAATTCTATCTGGTTGCCCTCAATCATACGATGCATACTGTATATCAGATTATCGAAGCGACTTCTTGGTTAAGAGGGCTCGATTATCACCAGATGAACTACTGATTTCAATACAATTTACTCACATCGGTTTAGGCAGCCGTGTTATATCACAAGCTCTCACCAACAGGTCCTAAAAATATATTCCCCAGGTAATGAGCGATACAGTAAAGGCAGTTAGAATTTAAAAGCCAACAGACGTCTGCATAAGAGTATCATATTTGTGAGTGTTAACAGTCATATTTAAAAGTTTTATTATATGCTTAGAATGTGGGAACCAGTCCAATCAAGGATGGATGTTTCGCTTTATTTTTGGACTCGGTTAGATTTATCGTCATTTGCGTTGATTTAACCGCTGAGATTTGAATGCAGCATTGATTATTTCAGGCCACAACCTGTTTTATACTACTGAGTTAATCACATAATCAATATTATAGCTTCACCACCAACTGACTTCGAATACCTAAAACATATTATTGATTAATGCATAGCCAAAAACGTTCCTCATGATGGACAAAAAAATAATAACATACTTTAATTACTGTCAATCACTTATATATAAGGATATACGTGGATATATATCCACAAGTATCTCTACAAGTAAATTTAAAGTAAAAAAATGGGAATTTTCTTCAACAATCTAACCTCAGGAATATATCTTGGACGTGACGGATCACATTTTCGCTTCTCTACAGACTCAGCAATCACTTCAATACGTCCTCTGTCCGTACTACACACAAGTGCATTGAGAGAATCACTGAAGTCCACACTCTATTAGCCAATGTACAGATGAGTACATGGAAAAAATAAACAAAAGAAAAGTAAATTTCGAGATAATAGCAACAATGTCTTTCGAAAACTTGCAAAAAACAGAAAGAAAACAACAACTATGAAATAATCAATGTGGTTAGAGTTTTTACAACAACGAAACACATGAAACATGAAAAACACATTTATTTATTTGTGATCAAATCAACCAATTATAAACAAATGTATACATCCAGCTAAATCAATTCACAAATCCGCCTACAAGTTGAATTTTGAATGTCTATGTACATAATAAAAATGATTAACGATAAAAAGAAGTCAATTGCAACAATTGAAAAGAATTTCATCGTGCAATATGTCAAATCTTTGGTTTAATGTATTCTGTCAAGCTTCGAAAAAGACAATAAATACACCATTATGATATCACTTTCATTTGATATTGGCAGTCTACTCATGAGTACAGTATGATTAAAATAATTCGGATTCTTGAACTTCTGGTGATATATATATAAATATATATTCGGACTTCGAATTGCATCCCAGTAGATAATGTTTGCATCTCTCTACTAATAAGCGTAAACATATAGGATGTAAATATCCTCATTCCTCTATAGTTTTTGTATAGACTAGCATCGTTCGTATTCAGCAAACAAGTGAACAACTTATGAGTTGTGATGTGAGCCGAGTATAACTATGTAGACTGGCAAATACTAATATAGTTATAAGATTAAAGTTAATAAGAATTCAGTAAAATATCTCAGGCTATATCAGTGACCTATTTTAATTTAATTTACAATAGATTCTACGTATTCCGTAAAATATTAATCGCCATCACACATATTTTTAAAGAAAAATCTCAACCCTACGAGGAGCTACATCATGACAGATGTTGTGTTTAATGTTCAGTTTCCGTTCAATTTTGAGATATATTAACCTGATATATTTCCCTAAAATTTTCAATAAATTAATCGATAGTAAGAAACATGAAGCAAAAGCTTGCTTACCATTGAAACAATTCAGAATATTAAATTAAGTCACTCAGAAATTTGATTAACGTGAAAGCTATTGAAAATTATTTAGCACAATGTAGTTGTTTCTTTTTAGTTAAGAACTGTTCAGCAATAAAAGGAGGCTTGCAGGGTATCATACAAGCAACTAAGCATTCAGGTATTAAATAATAATTATATGATTCATATCTAGCCAAACAACAGTAAAGTGAGACAAACATTCATTTGTATATGCTTGTAATTCCAACTTCGTCAGAAGAATCAGACTTCCTTATAAGACGGTCACGATATTTATATTAACAGAATTTACTAAGCAGTATTACATTATCATTTGCGCTACAGTACATGACTTGAATGAAGTCGAAAAGTGCAAATCAATGAATGGAGGTTCAATGGTTAAATGTTAAGTTTCGCAACACAGAAAACTCAGGTTCTGGATCTAATTTTCGACTGTCAGCTTTCACTCTACTTGACGGTTGAATTCACCCGTCACAACAATTTAGTCCGGGTGAACTGGTGAAATGCTTTTTTTAAGACCGTATAATATCATGAACGCTGGTTGAACGGGAATAAAATAAAACCTGCTATCCCTAAAATGTTAATGTTATGCATTAAGATGACAATACAAGGATGAAGTTATACTACCAGAGAGATTTAAATTGAGAACGATAAGGTTTCCTCGAACAACCACCATCCTAGCTATGCTACAGATTTACATTAAGGAGGATGGTTCCCAATCAAAAAGTTTACATTACACTGAACTCTCCAGCTTTCTGTTTTTTATGAAAATATGTTTTAACAGGGAGAGAAAACTCTCATAATTTCGATCACAAAATTCATGTGACCATCTTCAAATGAAAATAATTTGTCGTTTGTGAATAAATGACACTCAAATATTCTTCCAGACGTTTTAAGATCTCTTTTTCTGCATACATGGTTACCACAAAGCAATTGTCATTTCAAAACTGTTAACATCACAAATCCTTCTCGTTCATCAACCTGATAGTTCACTTTGTGCACTATTTGACTGATATCCTTTTTGATTTTTCCTTCTGAAACTACTATCCCATGATTTCGGATTTTTAATAATTCTCTGAGTAGATAGATAATTCCAATTTAGACATTGAAAACATGAAGTTCAGCGAAGGGATTGATTTTCAACGAGTTTATTATCAAGCTGAATAATCGTATAAATACATAAATTTTAAAGTTTTAATTCCATAAGTACATATAAGCAATGAATAAACATGATGATGAAAGTAATTTATAAAGCAAGTTACAATCTATTAAAAGATATATAGGGAAATTATCATTGGGAAAGGATGGCTCAGCATGATAAAATAAAATGTTGAAACAGAGATGAAATGTAATCGGAATGACCGTGGAAATAAAAACAAACCAGTTGGGGGTAGAAGATTTAAGGGGAAGATGGAAGGTGAAGCAGTAAAGGAACAAGAGTATGAAAAAGAGAGAAGAAAATTTCTTAATACATTAAGACCATGGTAGAGGAAGAGGTTGTACCAGTCTCTTTTGCACACACAATTCTAGTTTTTCCAGATGTATGGCTATTGCTTCGGTAATGCAGAGAAGATGCAGTCTAATTGTCTTAAGAAGACTTCTACTTACCTTGTAGATGACTTTGAACGCAGAGTCTGTCTTGAATGAATGACCTGTGTTCACAAGTTAAAAACACTAATCACAGTAGTCTACTTCAAAAGTACTACTATCCATCTATATGATCAAAAGAATTATATCGTTAGAACCAAAAGTTAGAAATCTTACTGAACTATATAAAACTTATTGCATCAAACGCCTATTTAACATACATTTATTTTTAACACGTCATGATTTTTAACTTTGCAGTTTTCTATCGAACGTTTACCACCATCACACAAATAGTCCGTACACAAGGACTTACAACATGAGTAGAAGTAATAGTCTTGTACATTATGAATTACTAAAACTGCTTCCATAAACACAATAAGGGAATGAAGAATAAAGCAGACCAGATATCTAATATCCATTACAAAATCAAGTGAAAGATTGTGAAGTTAAAAAACTGTATCATTGGTGTATATATATAGGATATAAAATCATCGACATCAAAGTGGAAGTTCGAAGACGTTGAGACATTGATTCCTGTAAACAATTTAAAACTATCATTTCAGAGACGTGCTTTATACAACCATTTAACTAATTGTTGTAATATACTGCTTACCATCAGTCTGATTGTAAATCACACTTTGCATTATTAAAGATTTATAGCTATAAATGATAACAATTAAGCAGCTTCCTCTACGCTATGGTAAATAATCATGAGTGAATTGATCGACATCTTAATTTGCTCATTTTTTATAACTTAGGTTGAGTTTATACTTTGTAGAAGCTGTACAAGAAACCAGTTCAGAGGCGATTTTTAGCAGTTTTGATCCTAATTTCCGAACGATTTAATAGTATGTAATAAAATATTAGAAAACGGTTGCTTGAGATTTTTTTTATCTCAAAAACTCAAAACTAAACTTGAAGTTAAAATTTTTATCTGGAAGTATCATAACATGTTAAGGTGTAAGTTGGGTAACAAGCATTAATGCGTGTAGGCTTGAAATTACAATTGAGCGTTTTGTGTTTGACCGACTGAGTAATTGTTAGTGATGAATTATAAATCCTGAGATAAATGAATGAAATCAGTCATTTATACAAGATTATATTTATTTTATGTCATTAGGCATTTCCAAAATGAGGTTTTCTTACCGTGAGTGACTGGATTCCTAATGGTATTAAATGGCTACAAGCATCAGTTGGTTCAGCAGGTAAATACTGACCAATACAGTTATCCATAGTATCAAATAATGCAGACCACTTGGGAAACTGAGTGTTTTTACATGATGTCGAAGTAAACCATGTTTCACGTGAACCAACTAAAAATTCACCATTACAAATCCACATTCCTTCACGTCCCATAAAACCACGTACTGGATTCCAACTGATTTCAGCTGACTCGGAAGTGAAACATACAGAGTCATTCAAATCCCAGACACCACCGATACGTTCTAAGCCTAAATAATAACAAATAACAATAACATGTACAAAAGTATGATGTGAAAGTTGGATAAATGTTTAACGTCAGAGTTGATGTTTAAACCCTAATGTATATGAATAGAAACAAAAATCTATACGAGTTTTTGGACATCAAATAAGATTACATTGGATTTATGAGATCAAGGTTATTAGGTAGTTGGAAGCATCTAAAGATAGAAACCAGGATCTGTCATTGATCCTTCTTTGTGACTCATTAACACGAGCTACACATAAACTTCAGAAAATTCCGGTTTAAATAAACGTATTTCCAATTATTTGATAACAGTAAATATCTTAATTTGAAAACTACTCCGACAAAATAAACTTAATACTAATATGTATCTAAACACTACCTAAGGAACATTTATACTATAATTCATGGATTTTATAAAAATGAGGGAAACATCTACCTTAATTCTAATTAAATTTTTCTCGTGGAAATCTGTAGGAATCTATAGATTTTTGTAGCAATAAAAGACAAGCTAATATCCACAGCATCTTTAGGGAGGGTTGTATGTAGCCTATTGTCACACTTAATCATTCGGTTAAACATTTACAAAACTTTTCGTTAGATCAGACGACATGTAATACATAAAGGTGGTCAGAGACTGACGTAAGAGCAGAGATGACCAAGTTTTATAGATAAAACAATGAATTACGAAAAAGAGTACACATGTTAGTGGTAAAAGTTGATAAAAAAAATTCAAGTGTCAGTTAAACATACTGATTGATACAAACAGATACAACTAAAATTGCTTATTTTTACTTGGGGTTAATCGTTGAACAATTTCAATAATTTATATATTTCAAAAGATCAAACAACTAGAAATAGTTCATTTTTAACTTCTACTATGATGAGACAATCATTATTGGAATTACTTTCTGAAGTTTTCTCATCAACAGAATAAATCAAAATAAACGTCGTTCTGTAGATTCTAAGTATAATTTGTAAGATTAAATTTAAGTTTCACTAAAAGATGTAATAAATAACCTAATGAAAATAAAAATACAATAACGTAAAACCAATTAAATAAAGTTATTAGATTCAAGCGGTTAGAATTGATAACAGAAACGAAGCAAAAGTTAAAAGAAGAAAAAATACCGTAGATTTAAAAAAAGGAATGAAAGAAAAAGAAATAAATAATAATATGTTCAACATTTGACTATCATAGACTGTTCGTTTTGAGCTATATTGGCAGATGTGGATTACCAGGTTCGAGTCTGTGTGATAATGGTAATCAGTGGTTGAAGGCTATAGATGACATGGCTCAGAATTTTTCACAACAAAGTAGATGCATTTACTGTATGTCTTCCTCTAGATCTTGAATTCCTACGTTACTTAATACATAATCATTTTACTAACTTTTAGAACCTTATTTCCTATGTTCCGTATATCTAATTATCATAGCTACTACATTATTTCGATCCATTTTGATATTCTTTCGTTATATTGATGTTGTACAGCAACCTGGACAAACACACACCTGTTCCAGGCTCAACGCTGATGATGATTAACTGACTGTTGAACATTTAGAGGATAGTAAAAAGTGGAAGTATTTACGTTGTTATGATAGTTTTAAAAACCTCTCATCTATGGCCTTCAACTAACAAAATTTATTATCTCTAAAACTCAATTCGTTTGGTAAAATTAACTAGACATGGGATTAAAAGTTAAATTACTAAATATGGTTATAATAATAATAATAATACATGTACTTACCTTGTACATACAACATTTTTCCATTAAGAGGGTGGAGAGACAATGCTGTGATTGGACTGCTTGTTAGACGTGACATTTTCACTGGAGCTAAATGATTATACTGAGGCGAATAAACCAAATCATTAAGACTACTTAGATTGTAATAGCCTACATAACCTGAATATAAAAAGATAATTCAAAAGGTCGGTATAGATATGATAAATAGTACAGGTAATGAGTGAATCAGCCACGATGATGAGTCTTAAAACTAATGCTTAGGGTTTTGATGGTAAATGCTTTCTTCCAAGTTGTCACATTTGAATTATTTCACCAAGAACTCATAAAATTTGAAGAAATACCCAAAATTACGGTGCACTAATGAACTGTAGTCACAACAATTCGGGATTTCTTCAACACCAGGAACCCATAAAATTATCATATACAGCTCTAGGACATCTGTAGATATAACTTGCACCATAGGAACAGTTGAATTGATCAACAAAAAAGAGGGTGACTAGTCTAGGCAATTTGTTTCGTTTATCTTGGTGTGATGCAGGGGAAACCTCAGGCAAAATAAGTACATACTCATTTTAGTTATAAGACGACCTAATCTAGCTAATGTATATAAAACATTTCTGTTTTCATAACTTGGATTTATCTTGTTCAAATATCATTGTTATCATACACAAACATTTATATTGTTATTAATGATCCCATAAACATATGAAGATTTTAATCAATATTCATTTCACGTACTATTTCTAACTGAATACATATCACTCCATAAACTAAGTAGTCTTCGATCAAACACTTGATTTGATTTGTAGTAACAGTATTATATCTCACCGGGTTACTTATATTTATATAAATTATTAATTGTTATTTTTTTTACTTGGACACATAAACATTGATACAAAGGGGCACCAAATACATGTGCGTCACACAAGTCACTTGATTTTTGTGTGGGCTGTGATGCTGATCGGGTGTCCAGATCGAAGCAATTGGTTGTCCTAGACAACCACACCCGGAGTCTTCGACCTGAAGGTCTGATCCACAATGCAGTGGAGCAACGTCAGGAGATTCAGTCCCATGGTAGCCAGTGACCACCAATAGGTCCATACATCATTTGTTCCTTCAGGGTCCTGGGGCCCTTGTGCACCATTGATTTGGAATCAGGGTTTTTCCAACTCCCGTAGGTGAACCCTCCGTATCCACCAACCCGGTTAAAGCGCTGGACATTTGCTTTTTGTTCTCTTAATTTCGTAAACAGCACCCCCGCAGCAACAATTCAGTGAGTAGGACTTCCGTGTGAGTGGCTGTATACACGTGGCCATGGGAGAGCATTTCGAGAGGGAGAACTAACTCTCCCCACAGTTTTGATTGACTTCTTAACTAATTCAAGTTAACATCACATCCTGGTCATTTGAGGATTAACAATTCAATTTGATTTTACACTTTTAGATTTAGATGTAACTTTTGAATGATGTATGTGTTTGTCAAATGTGAGGATTTTATGAAATATTAATTTGGACTGATAACTGCAGAACCTTATGACAATTTACCGAAAAAAAATTCTTTATTCATATACTTGTAGCGTAATATAATAGTAAGTTTTAAACAGTTGAATACTGAATAATTCACGTGTAAATCACAAACGTAAGTTAGGATTAACAGTTAAATGGTTGATACATATGAACTTTAGTCTTAACTACAATTTTTCTATTTAATAATTGTTAATACGCTTTACAAAGTTTGATGGTAAATTATTCTAGAAAAATAAGTATCAGAGTTTAATTTCAAAGACAAGGGAGTATATAACTGACAAATTATCTACATTACTTATTACGTTTACACTATGAACTGAGGTCTTGGATTTGAGCTCATAAGTAAATTATGGTGTGCGGTACAGAGGGTCTGCGCGATAGAATAAAATAGCTATCCAGTGCTTTTTGATCATTAATAGTTCTGTAATTAATGTCAGGTGATAATAAAAACCACTCTCAAAGAGTATATTAACCAAATATAAAAAGTTTAGTGAAATGATTTTCGTGAAGGTAAAGTACTAAAGTATGAAAAGTTATGGTTAAAGAAGTAATCAAGAGTAAATTTCTCGTCTAAAATACAATATTTGGAAGTGATAAGTATAAATCATCGATAAATACCTCTGTCTCAAAGAGACAGCATGTTAATACTAGCCTGCTCTCTCAAGTTTATAGAAAGCATAGCCCACTTAAAGTGTAGGCAGTTGGAAATGGTATCTAAATGGCTTCAAACGTTTTGGTCACACCGTTAAGTCACGGATTTCATTACTAAAACAGAATCAGTCGTCCTAAACTAGTAAACATCTTTATTATGCCTGGCAAAATATATACTTTATCAATTTGCTAGACGATTACATTTACTAAAATAGAATATGATATCGCATAAGAATCACTTTCTTACCTGTGGTATAACCAACAAAAAGGCGATCTGGGAATTCACGGCGAATATGTGTACACGTTGGCCAACCAACCCAATGAGGATGTTCTGTGAAATTAAAGGAATCAAACTGCTCTATGTACACATAAATTAAATTCATATTAACATATCTGACACAAGTTAAATGAACTGACGAACAAAGTTAATCAAATTAACTAACCATCAGCACTTATTACTATATTGTTATTGAGTGCTTGAAAACCGTTGCTGCAAATTATACATATATGTATCGAACGTTACCCACATTCAGCAACTATCTGCCAAGTCTTTCGATGTCTGGACTTTAGTTTAAGAAAATACTGACTGACTAGACTAAAGTATAGCAGTGTCTAACTATTAGTCTAGACGATGTAGGCTTCTGCAAAACAATTGAAACCAACAGTCGAAACCCTTTACTAACTTTGTACTGCGAAAAAATGTTATGGTACAGCGAAGACTCCACTTATCTCACTTTAAACCTTTAACATCACGTGACGAAATGTCATTCACTGTAAACTGTCTTTTTTTCTCTCATCTGTTAAATATTACTGATATCGTGTGTCAACGTTCTTTCTTACCAATCACCCATTATTGAGCTGATATGAAATGTGGCAACTTGGAGTGCTACGGTGTCTCAGATTCTATGTTTTCTTTGATTGTCAGTGAAAAAGATCCACCAAAAATTAATTTTCATTTTTATGTCTTACTCTATAGTGTTTAACGCAGAAATGGATCTCGCCATTATATGATTCACACTGTCACTTTTGCATCCCCCTAAATATAACGTAGCCCCCAAATGCCCTGGTATGGCCGAGATCTGGGTGGGTTCGCCCTCCCTCTCGAAATGCTCTCACACGGCCACGTGTATACAGCCTCTGCCAAGGAAGTCCTACTCACTGACTTCTCGTGGCGGGGGTGTTGTTTACGGAAATGAGAGGACGAAAAGCGAATGTTCGGCGCTTTAACCGGATCCCAAATCAATGATGCACATGGGCCCCAGTACTCTGAGGGAATAAATGGCGTATGAACCAATCGTTGGCCTCCGGCTACCATGGGACTGCATCTCTTCACGATCCTTCACTGCCTTGTGGGTTAGACCTTTAGGTCAAAGGCTCGGGGTGTGGCCCCCTAAGACAACTACCTGCTTCGGTCTGGGCACCCGGGCAGTATCACCGCTCACACACAAATGATGAACTGTCTATAATTATGGAAACTACTTTTCTTGCTTCAACTAACAATCAAATGATTCAAATTATTATTATTATTATTATTATTATTAATTAATCAATTAGTTAATTACTACATCATTATTCTTCCTCTTTTATTCCTAATCTGTCTATACTTAGTTTTCGACTTATAAAGCAGCTCGTCTTTGGTGGAAATTCGACTCTATCTAAACGCTCTCGAGTCACTGTCCGGTTGAAAATTGTGTTGCCACCGAATATGAGTACTGGAGCAGTTTTTCTGAAACCACGTGCACCATTCAAACTGGCTGCCTTCAACGTTCGCACACTTATGCAGGTCGAACAACAGATAGGACTGGCTACGTCTTTAGAAAGTCTTAATATCGATGTTTGTTGTCTATCCGAGACCCGTATTCAAGACTCTGGTGAAGTACTACAAATTCGCTCTCCATCTTTCGCTTCAAAAAGCTTGTTTTACGTGTGTTTGTCGGGGGACCCTGTGGCATCTTCGTCTGGTCTTGCTGGCGTTGGTGTCGCACTAAGCGCTAGAGCTGAGGCACCACTAATCGATTGGATCCCAATTAACAGTCAGTTATGTGCTGTTAGATTAGAAAGTTCCATCAAAGTGAGAAGAAATCGGCGTGAGAAACGATGTCTTTTCGTCATCTCCGCCCATGCCCCGACAGATTGCAGCCCGGATGCAATCAAGGATGAATTCTACCACCAGTTAACTGTTCTTCTCCAGAAAGTGAGTTCGACAGATATTGTAGTACTAGCCGGGGACTTGAATGCTCAGGTCGGGCGTCTAGGCACAGAAGAGAATCGTTTAGGTGGCCGATGGGAACTTGTTGGTCGCAGAACAGATAACGGGGACCGTCTACTGCAACTTTGCACAGACCACAACCTGTTTCTGGCTAGCACTAACTTCCGGCACAGTCATCGCCGATGTGCCACCTGGCGTCCTCTCTCTGCATCTCAAGCCTGGACTCAGATTGATCATATCGCGATCAGCTACCGCTGGCGTGGTTGTGTACAAGACTGCTGCTCCTTTTGGAGTACCTATCTGGACTCTGACCATGCCTTGGTCTGCGCCAATCTTACCTTACTTTTCAGTGGACAACGAAGTAACCACCACCAACGGATTGATGTTAGCGAGCTGGTTGCAACTTCTGTTGCTGGTAAGTATCGAACCGAGCTAGTTTCTAGGCTGGCTACCATTCCACCGAAAAGTATAGATGAGCATTGGTTGCAATTGCATGACGCCATGAAAATGGCGGGTACAGTCAGTTATCGGTTCGCGAAACGTCCCGCTTATAAGCACTGGGTTTCTTCTGGTTCCTTACAACTCATCGACGCTCGTCGGTCTACTCCGAGTGACCGTGAGTTTGACCACAAACGAAGGATGTTACGTAATGAAATTGGGCAAAGCTTGCGTAAGGACCGAAAAGCCTGGTGGTCGGAGCGTGCTAATGAGTTGGAAGCAGCAGCTGCATCTGGTATTAACCGGAGGCTCTTCCAACTCATTCGAGCCACTGGCAGCAAGAAGTCTGGAGTGAGCGAAACAATCTGCGAGGATGACGGGATGCCAATCACTAACATTCATCGACGTCTTGGACGATGGGCAGAATTCTTCGAAGGGCAGTTCAATTGGCCTGCTGCTCCGGCAACATCGATCGAACTGTCCTGCTCTCCATGGCTGGTGACGACTGATCCACCAAATGAAGCGGAATTCCTCAAGAAACTCCAACTCTTGAAGCACTACAAATCACCTGGTCCAGACGACTTACCTCCGGCTCTTTTTAAAGATGGTGGTGACTTTCTGACTAAGGAACTGACGACGTTGTTTACAAAGGTCTGGGAGCTCGAGTGTGCCAACGTCATGGAATGAGCCGATAGTTGTCCCTATCTTTGGGAAAAGTTCACTTCGTTCGGATGTTAGACGACTCTCTGTGTTCGATCATCATTGTCTCCGGAGGATTGCTGACATCCAGTGGCAACACCGTGTTAGTAATGCAGAGGTTCGACATCGTGTGTTCAGGCACAGAGATGATAATGCAATCGGTGTCACCATCTTGAAACATCGACTTCGGTGGCTTGGACATGTTCCACGGATGTCGTCCCAGCGAATTCCACGTCGTGCATAATTTGCCGACTCTGGGACTGGTTGGAAGAAGCGGAGAGGTGGTCAGTATATGACATGGTGTCGTGGCATGAAAGAACGCTGCAAAGGACTGACTTGTGTTGATCCTTCACGACTCCCTGACTGGGGTCCGAGAGATGGTGCAACACAGTGGCTAGAGACGTTATCAGATATGGCTCAGAATAGAAGCCAGTGGCGATCCTGCTGTAACCTTCTTTTACTTTCTTCGTAAAAAGTGGTTGTTTCTTCCTTAACTGAGAGATTTCTTCTGATTGTGTCTTTCCGTTTCCCCCACTATTATTATTATTATTATTATTATTATTATTACACTACCTTACACTAATCTGTTCGTTATTGTTCTTTTTTTCTCTTCGAATCCTCATTGTTTTGTGTGGCGCATATATATTGGTGCCCTCTTATACCAATATTTGTGTTCAAATAAATTAATAAAAACGTTGGGTTACGGATTTGAACATTATAATAGACATAGGCCTTTCCAGCCCAGCAACGTCAGTGTTTCTAAACACTATGGTATTTAGTACTTGAATTTCTTGCATTCCGATAATGTTCTTTCCAATCTATACGAACTGATGCCCTTAATTTTTTCGACATCCAGTCTATTTACTGTAATAAATCAACCTCAAAATGAAAGCGTCTCAGCTTAAATAATCTAGCTGAGTATCAGCAGTAAACAAGGCTACGTGGATTTGATAAGGTGACAAATAAGTGATTTCGCTGATTTGGAATAATGTGTAAAACAAATTATTGAGTTGATACAATTCCTAATGAAAGTCAATACATCTAAATGGATTAGATGATGAAAAATAACATAATACAACCTAGTCATAAAAGAATCCTCGACGGTATTTGAAAATTTAAATTATCAGGTATCATCAGTATGGGATTATGGAGATTGTTGAGATCATGAATCGATCAATGATAGATTACCATTGATCGATTCATGATCTTTATCAGAAATCAATATTTATCAGTAAGCCCGTGAAGACGGTTTCTATTTTGATAAATCATCTACACTACACCTAATTAAAATAACAGTCAATTATCCGAATAAACGATACCTTTCACAGATGGGGATAGTGTGAGGTAACAATTTTTCGAAAGTGTATAAGCGAATTGTGAAGCAGATGAATTCTCGAACCCAAAATTCATTGGACAAGTTGGTATAGATAATATACGAATAAAACCATCTTGACAAGCAACAATTAAATGACCAAGAACTCGATCTACTTCGGGAATAGTTATTATGCATGATCCATACGAACAAGCCTTTGTCACTAGTTCTTTAATGCCCGAAAAAGGTGAAACTGGTATCCAGCACATATCAGTAATTCGACCCCAATCATGTGAAATGATAAAGTGGATTTCAGGGTTTAAAGTACTTGACCTAATATTGAATAGAATTAGTCAAAAATGAGTGGATATTGAAGCCAATAGACAAAGTGATCAACATCGAAAATGAACATACGTACACTACTGAGAAATAGTTCCTCTTACTCTATCGAACTAAAGTTGAGTGAAATCTAAACAGTAACTGATGTATAATGATATCTTGTAAAATAACTGATTTTTTGTATGCCCACAGGTATGAAAAGTCAATATCATTTCATCATCTAAGATAGCATAAACTCACATCATTACGAATACTTGCATTTTTGAGTATTGTACCACATAATGTATAAAAGTATTCAACATCAATCACACGATAACAAACTGTTTCGTCTTGAAAGTGCTTCGAATGATACTTAAAGATGATCGGCCTTACAATCACGACTATCAAATTGTTATCACTGACAATATTATACTATTTTATTCAAACAAGTCAATGCATCCGACATAACCAAAGAATGGATTAATACCGAAATCCTGGAAAATGAAACGACCCACTAATAGTGAGAAATTCCCTTTATCATTTAGCTTTTCATAGTGTAACTGATGTATGCAGTTTAAATACCAAAAAGTTAAAATCTTTCACATAATATTATAAGTTTAACAAAAACTCCCGGTTGGTGTCATACATATGGTACAACTCGATGACTTAAGACGCTGTCAGACATAACTCAAAGTCAGAGCCAAAGATTGTCCTACTGTACTTCCTTTACATTCTTCTTAAAAGTGAAAGGAACTTCTCTAACTGAGAAAAAATCTCGGTTGTGCTTTTAAGTGAACTTCATCTCCAAGCATACACTTCTCAACTACCTATTTCTTAGTTATTTTTGTTTGTACTACTTTCCCCCAATCTATCTTCTCACAACTTTGTTTCATTATTTGTGTGGTTTGTACTTATTTTTGTGCCCACCTGTATCCATATTTATTTATGAAATAAGTAAACTGACAAGTGGTAAAGACTAAAACAATTGGGACAAAAAATTGAGATTTACATCTATTATGATTTTTAATGAAAGTTTGTCACTCGCATCAGTGAATACTTTCATAAAAACTTGGCTGCAGTACCTGTGCAGATTCGCCATACATACACTGCTGCAATAACAGAAGACCTTCAAAATCAATGTCCTTATATTAATAGCATTATTACCATAGTATATTTTTTCTATTCATGTGCATAAAAAAAAAGTTTAATTCAATGAAATTATCGAATGAACTCCTATGAAAAAGTAAACTTACACTTCTGTTAGACCTAAAACCCCACAATTCCATATCTGTATTAATCCAGGACAACTCGCCATCTTATCAGAATAAAGCGTTTGTGAATCTGGTGTTAGAATAGAAGAAGTCGCAAGAAACGAACATTCATTTACAATTGATTCAGAATCCAGAAGTGAAGAAAGACGAGGAGGACACCATGACAAACAAGTTACTGCTCCACCAGTATATACTAAATTTGAACCTAAAATCTATTTATTATGCTGTTTAGCAACATACCCTTGTCAAATTCGAACCGTTTTAATTTAACTGTATTTACTTCGTCAGATAAATATATAGGGCTGATGGGAGGCTCTGGAAGGTGATCCTTTTTGATACTATAATGTTGGTTCATTGGAAACAAGTAACTTACTAAATAGGTGATCGTACCCACGCACCCGAGGTTGGAAATAAAGCCTTTTTCCGACACATAAACTGTGACTTATATCCACTAGTAAAAAGTATGACAATTAAGCGATTATTACCTGGGACAAAACAGGAATGGATTTTGCGTATTACTGAACATATGTTTTAGTGAATCTATTGACTGCAGAAATTTCGCAGGAGCTACAGATCTGGGATCACGATCAATATGACCACGACAAGACCTCATATATCTTACGAAAGGAGATCTCAAACATCCTTTGTCACTCAAAACAGGACGATGAGCTCTACTTGATGATTTTTTACGACATGGTTCATCAATAAACGAGCCTGTTGACGACGAATTTTCTGATGAGAGTTTGGCATCATTAGATATCTCAGCTTTATCTGCACTATTCGAATCACTCTCTTCGGTAGTGATATTATTGTCCCCACTTTCGACAACATAGTCTGACATCTCACTTTCAATATTTTCAGGTATTGAGCTATCATCAGAGTTCTGGAGAGCAGTAAGTCCACATATGGCCTTGAGACAAGCTTTGGCAGATGCTCGACGAGGCTTTGTAGTAGCTGTCATACTTGCACATTCAACCTTGGTGTTTACTAAATTTGTACCCGCAGACTAAATTAGATTTTGTGGACTGTCCGAAGTTAAGCAGACTTCCTCAGATTGTTATACGCAATTATACCAACAGTTTGTAATCCTTTTATATCTTGGAGGGAGGAAAATAATAAAACTGTTTAACGATAAGTAACTAGTGGAAATTTTTAAAAATAATGATATAAATATTATCATGATCAGTCAGTCAGCTACAACGTAGAACCAGGCACATATATGCATCGGTCCAAGTTGTCATACCTCATTAACACAACAAGATGGACACCGGATTAATAAAAGTAGTTAGTTCAGAGGTGGTAATATATAAAAGAAAGATTGCAATAAGGATATAGTACAGGAAGAAAGAATTGGTTAGTAGAAAGAAAGATTTGAAGCGATTTTAATCTCTTAGTTTAAGGGAAGACAGGGAGTGTATACACCGACACTATTGTGATCGATTCTGAGCCATGTCACACAGAGTCTCCAACCATCGGTTACGAAAGTCACGCGGACCCCAACCAAGTAGTCTGCATCTACCAACATGGCTCAGACTAGAGGTTAGTGCCTTCAGGCATTTGTAACACGTGGCCCAACCATTTCAGTCGATGAAGATTCATAACCTCATCAACTGATTTACCATCATTCCCTAATACCCTGCGTCTAACGGCGAGACTCTAATTTAGCGACGAGCCAATCAGAAGCGTTTGAGCGATTTCAAGGTCACGGAGCCAAGTTCAGCACGCGATGCTAACATACGGTCGGTTCACAGCGGATTTTAGAGAGGAGGTGATTAATGAGAGGTTAAAACAGATGGGAGGGCGAAACTCTAATTTAGGGACGAGCCAATGAGAAGCGTTTGAGCAATTTCAATTATTAGCCAATCAGAAGACAGTATAAAGTAAAAATATATTACAAGAAAGTAATGAGTTACAGTGGATACTCTTCTTTCACATGATTTAAAAACTTGTTGAGGTTTGATAAAGGCTCAGAAGTTCTGAATTCATAATGCATATTGTATAGAAACTCGTCCATAGGGTTAGGGTTTGGGGTTAAGGTTAGGGTTAAGGGTTAGGTTAAGGTTAGGGTTTAGGGTTAAGGTTGTAAACTGATCGCATGTTAGCACCCTAACTCCTAACTTTAACCCTAACCCTAGGCTACAACCCTAACCACTAACCCTATGAACGAGTTTCTATACCATATGCATTATGAATTCAGAGCCTCTGAACATTTATCAAACCTTAACAAGTTTTTAAATCATGTAAAAGAAGAATATCCACTGTAATTCATTACTTGCAATATATTCTCACTTTATACTGTCTTCCGATTGGCTAATAATTGTCAAGGTCACTTAAGATTCGTTCAAAGGTCGTCGCTAAATTAGAGTCTCGCCACTAGTAGCTTACGAGTGTCTTCTACTCTTAATGGCCATGTTTCGCTGCCATAAATTAAAACAGAACGGACTGGCGCGCATTATCCTGGTCTCCATGTTTTGTAATGCACATAATGCGAGAAATCCTCTGGCCACAAAAATTAACGAATATGGAGAACTGCTGAACACCCCTAGTTCCGGAGCCAAATTTTAAAATGATAGAGGTCAACCAGTAGCGCTAAATGTGTCCCATATAGATCGTGTCGTCATCCCAAAGTAGCATTTTGTGCACTTAACAACTGGAGTGCACATAAACAATATTGAAGCTATGTGGTCGATGCTGAAAGTTTTTGAGACTTTATCATGGCTCCAGAGTCCGAATATTTTGTAGCCATATGGATGATTCCCTCTACTGTATGCATTAGGATTTTAGAGCTTCTGAACCTATTTCTAACCTTGAAAAGTTTTTGAACCATGTATAAGAAGTGTATCCATTTTATTTGCTTGGTTTTGTTTAATATATTTTTACTCTATAGTGACTGTGTGCTGACTGACTGATATTTCTCAAGGCCACTTAAGATTCGTTCAAAGGTCGTTCATAAATCAGTCTCGCCCCTCTTATTAAGTTTGCAGAGAGATAAGATATTCAGTATTATACAAACCGTCAAGAACAACACAAATTTCTTGGTTTACACTTACCAATTTGTACAAGTGAGTTGTGTAAGTCATGAATACCTTCCCCCTGAGAAATGTTGCCTACCAGGAGCAAGAAGCCCACAGTACTGCGCAGGACGGGCGGAAAGCAGAGCTGACCTTGACCAAATTCAAAATGTTGCCAGTTAATTATATCTCGGTCCTCGAAGTTCGTGTCAATAAGCTCCCAGGTGGGCTGATCTAGGTAAAAAATAAAACATGGTAATGACAAAATTAAATTGTGATCCAGTATAGTACTTCGAGTGCAATGTCACTGGGCCCTAGACAAATCATCCGGCAGTCGGGTCACTGAATGTCGACCAGTTCACCGATCCTCTCTAAGTTCAAGGACAACTAACGAGCATAAATTTATTGCATGCCGCTAACTGACCCGTGCAGCAGTAATCACACACCGTTCTTTGAACCTGCACTTACTGATATCTGTAGTAACGCCCTTTGTGTTGTACGATCATTGATGTATCCATTGCATGCGGATACGACGAAAGAGCAATCAATGTCAGCTACTAACTGTGAGGTGTGCCTTCAGTGCTATCCGGTCGGTCATGCCATTCCCATTCTACACGATTAATTCCATATTTGTTGGGCACATATACGTTGTGGATCGACAGGATCATCTCGTAACTAATGGTCAGACAACGAAGTGCAAGTGTTACAGTTTATCCCCTAATTCAAGGCCAGAAAGCCTTTTCACCAAGCGACACATCGAGAGTTCATTGCTCTTCGCAAAATTGTGTATGTTTTTTAAATGTTATTATGTTGTTTTTGTGTTCCCAGATATTTTTGGCATATTTATAGATTCAGTTCTTCTTATGCACACATACATCCAGACTTTTAGGGATCGAAACTCTATTAGTAATTTATTCTTCTATAGACCGAAGGTACAGAAGCCTTGTCCTGCTATGCAATGGATGGCTTCCACGAGTATGATATGACTGACCCAGGTGCTCAGTTCCTCGGAGAAGTGAAAACACCATCGCGCCAGTACAACGGACATGTTACATTTGCCAAATCTACTGATGATATTTCTGAGCTTTATGACATCTTTAAAAGGAACGTCTCTAAACATGACGAATAAATCTATGGACAAAGGTTAGGCCAACTCTTTCACGATATCGAATCGTGATACAGCTCGGCAACAGAATTGTTTCTACATTTGCTAGAAGTTGCAACAACTTATGCTGACTGGTTAGGATTCGAACAGAAACATCAAAGTAATTGTCACAACAATAAAGCTTAGGTGAAGCGACCGAACAACCAATATTCGGTTGGAACAACGGACTGACGAACCCAAAATTTATCCAATTAGACCAGACCACGTTCCTCTGTATAGCTCACAACGCGTTTTTGAGATACTCGTATTATATTATATCAAAACGCGAACTATGTGCTCAACATAAACGGTTCTAATTTAGAAAACAGAACAAATCGCATCAGAAATACAAAATACCCCAAACGGTACAGCCTTTCCTATACAGTCAGAAGTTTTTGTAACGCAAAGTAGCGCGCTAAACAATAAAAGAGATAGTTAATACTAAAGGGTTTGGTACCTGAGAATCAATACAAATATTACCAACAAAGGATTCCAACAGTCCTCTCAAGCAGACAGTCAGAAGGTTAACAGTCACATACTGTACCACGCCGTGACCTTGAGCTTGGTTAAACATGACCTTACTGTCAATGGTCCGGCATCATGCAACAGAAAATTAGGTAACGAAAGATAAGTCTTCAATCAAAATCAAATAATAAAGGCCCAAACGAGGAAGACTGAAGAACAAAAGATATGGTTAAACGAGATTGGAACAAAGGTTAAAATACACAACAGGGAGAAGGAACAAATAAATGACAATACTGTTCAACAAAGAAACTGCAGAGGGATTTTCATCGTTCTCTTTCCGTTACATTAGGTACTCAATCATTTCCTTATTTTGCATGGACATTATATTCCTCATTGTTCTACGTTGAATTTTGAGAAGCTTTGTGTAACCTGACACATAACTCCGCCTTCCGGGGCTTAAAGATAAAGACCTACCCAATACTAATCTGGTTTCTTATATCGGCAGTACGAGGGGTACTCAGCAGAACGAAACGAACGGGCCTCACCCCAAACATGAAAATTAATTTCTGTAGTGAAGATAAAACTTTTAATTATCTTCAACATAAAATTCGTATACATAAATATATATATATATATGAATATTGTCTCTTATTGAAAAGTATTCGTGTTGCAGTCATTGTTTTACCCAGTTCATATTATATTATTATATAAGTAACGTACATATGTCGGATCAAATCTAAACGAAAAGACTGAGAAACAATTGTAATTAGTCACTGTCAGAGACAGGCACTGTTATGGCTACGGACGTCTGACTCCCAGCATTCGATCCTAGTGATCGTGATTTGTGGTCCGCTCATGTAGAGCATTATTTCACGGGAAATCATCAAATCTGAGGGAATTCGCTACCGAGATAAGTCATCTATCCCCCCTCCAATCGTCAAAGAAGTCGGCGACCTGATTTTAAGTCCATCAACACCACAACCCTACGCCATTTCAAGACGAAAGATAACAAACCTTCTATCTTTACCAGACGCCCAAAGAATCCTTGGGATTTTCCGAGGAGAAAGATTAAGTAATAGGCCAACATCACAATTTCATGTCACTTCCAAGTGTTACTGGGCGACAACACATTGTGTGAAGTAATATTATTGATAATAATTTACTCCCAACTAACAGTCTGTTGCATGATGCATGCCAGTTTACAGGCAAGATCAATTTGATACAGAAGATACAGCCTTCACTGGAGTGGGTTACTCAGTCAGGTTGATATTTTCTAACGAACAACACCTCTCAAACATGAGTGCAAATAATATCAGTAATACTCGTATCGTCAATGTGATA